AACTGCTCAAACACATGTCCCATTTATTTAAAAGTGTTTCTCACCCTTTGTTACTTCAGGGTACACTTGTAGAATAACTAAAACTCTGGTGTGCACTTGAAATTTTAATAAGGAAAAATTAGTCATGAAATATGAAAATAATGAAGTCCCCCAGAAATAAGCATTTATTTTTAAGACATTATATTGCTTGGTGTCTCTAGTGTTTAAAAATAAAGATTTTTTAAATATAAAAATAATTCATAAATTACTCTTCTGTTATCTTCTAGCATAGCACAGAGAACCAACTTTCCTTGCAGTATATGCAGCTATTGATTCAATGTAGTTGTTCCACCTCAGATCCATGGAAAACATGAGACCAAGAAGGCACAGAGAGGCACTCTTGTGGAGTTGAGCATCAACCATGCTGATAGGAGACAGGGAGGTTTCTCTATGGTGAATAAATGACAACAGTTTCATTTTGGGCACCTTAATTGGCTGAACAAGTGTGGGAAGGATAGATACAGAGAAAGAGTTATCAGTGAGTTTTTTCTTAACCTTCAAACAATGTAGACATATTTTCTTTTGTGTCTGAAATGGCTCCCCAGCATAAGAGGAGCGACCCCATTGAATAGTTAGAAAATGTAAATGTTGATATGATTAATAAAATAGTTATATTTAAAATTCGCTGAGCTGAAATTCTTTTATATCTGGACTCTAAACAACTAGCAATCACCAGCCGCAAGAGAAGATGCAACTTTATTATTGAATTGGCACCGAGGACCAAGACCTCCCCTGCGTGAGTGGGTTATACAACGTATCAGTCAGTCAGTCAGTCATGTGCCATGCATGATACATGCTTAAGCAAGCATGTATCTTTCAATATATGACTGACGAGGCAGATTTTTTTCCCATGATAGGTTGCCATTTCTTTCTGTGGTAAACCAGTTGCTATACAAGGCTATAGAACCTGGTCTGTCCTGCTATTTACCCATAGCTGGGGGGAGAAGAAAAGGATTCATACCTTTCCCAAGGGTATTAGCATGTAAGTAAATATAATGGATTTGACTGGAATTCAAACATGTCTCTCCAATTCCTCAATCCGAGCCACTATCCATTACTCCACCATGCCTCCTATACAACATATAGGTATCGATTAAAAAAAAAAAACGTTTAAGTAATAAAATGGGTATCCATTAAAAATAATGTTTAAATATAAATAGTGTAAATAATGAGAACTTCTTGTTCTACATATAAAGTACCAAATGTTTTACTTAGAAATAAAACATATGATAGTAATTCTATGAACCATGACTTGCCACTTTCATTTATTACTTTATTACTGTATGAATAAACTATAATATTATTCATAGCTTTTTATTTTACTCAGAGTAAATGTCTATAAAATTTACTGCAGAAAAAACTGTATTTTTGTACTAAGTGTAGGATGAAAAGCATAGAAGCATAGAAGCCATCTTGACGCAATTTCAGCTGAGATGGAGACATTATATAATAATTATGCCTGATTGTAGACTTCTGAGAATCTTTGTTTTGTGATCTTGTTACCTTAAGAACTGTGAAAATAAAGAACTAAATCACTTACTGACATATGATAGTGAAGATGATGAGACAAAGTGGGAAATTTGTTAATGACACGTTTCACCAAGAGCATCTAGTCTCAGGTTAGAATGAAAGACCAAACTGTATGTGAGAAAAAAATGCCTTGGGATCTTTGTGGTTAAGTGAGGTCCATAAATCAAATTAAATTAGATGACCTAATCACCTGTAATGTCCAAATTCAACTCAAGAGAGTGTCTGTCCACCTGTTTGTTTGTTTATATATTTATTTACATACATACATATCTATATTAGAGTCATTTGGCATTGTTGGATTTTAAATCAGTTCACCGAAACTAGAGAGTATTTTTATTATTATTATTATATATATATATATATATATATACACACACTTACATAAATGTGTACATGCATACACATCCACCCAGTCATATGCATACAGGGTGCAATGGATAAATTGTCAACTAAATTAGACAAAAATGAAAACAACACTGATATCTCATTTTAACAGATATAATACTAAAGAGTAAATTTTTTTAACAAAATATCCATTGCCTTCTACATGAAAAATTGGGAATCTCCTGCAACTCTTCTGGATGGTCTCCTTGTTTAAGTTGGTGAACAATGCCATAATCCTTGCATTCAGTTCATCTTTGGTATTACAAGGAGTTTTGTTAGTCTCCCACAAAACTGCACCTCACACATAATAATCAAAGAGGTTGCAGTCTGGGGAGTTAGGTGATCAGATGTAAAGGGTGATGTGGTTGCAGAAATTGGCTGACAGCCATGATTTGGTTCTCTTGCTTGTGTGGCAAGGTGCAGAGTCCTGTTGGTGACATAGTGTCTTCCAGCAGCCATAAACTTGACCCAGAGCAGCACAAACCCCTCAAGGCATGATGTGGGTCTCCACATCGAGTCTGAGGCACTGTGGGAAGATGAATAGAGGCATAATGTCGCCATCACTAGTTATCACCCCAAACACTTTTGTAATCGCCATTAGACTCATAAAACTCTTAACCAAATCCTCTGCACTATTCTCAGATTGACACCTAAACACTCTGAAATGTTTGTACTTGAGCTTCCAGTATGAATGCCAAGCAGTATGATGCTATTTCCAAATTTCTGACAGAGTGAATTGTATCATGGTGCTCTTTTTCTCATAAATGGTGTTCACCTGAGTTTACTATAACGTGCAGTCAACAAAATCACACAACATGCATGCACAAAATTAAAAATCTAAGTTGGTGATAATTTACCCATCTCACCCTGTATATTAGTACCTTGTTTTTTTGGGTTTTTTTTTTTTTGGTATACTTACATATGATAGTAAAACTGATATACAATGGAAATTTCATAACCTTTCTTACTAACTTCATTTACTAGTTTATTACTATACAATTAAGCTGTATTATTATATATATATCGTTATTTATTCTACTCAGTGTAAATATCCATAAAGTTCAGAAAATCAAATATATTTGATATTAATCAGAAATTATGTACTGTACCAGTACAGAATTTGTCTCCTTGAAAACTTGAGTTTCATTATTAAGTGTGGGATGCAAAGCGTAGAAAGAATTTTGATGCAATCGGAACTGAACAGGACTGGTCATATAATAAGAATGCTTGGTTACAGAATTCTAAAAATACAATCAGGTTCTTGATGGCAAGCTGTTGAGATGTTGTGAGTTTCCCGCGTGTCGGTGTATGAATCAAGACAAACACAGTTGTAGAGGAAAATACTGGTATATTCATAAAAGCAATTAACAATAGAGTGATTAGTAGAACGAAGGTTGGTTAGTACGAAACCATATCCAAAGTCTATATTCCAACGGTATGTACCGGGTAAGCTTATCTGGACTGCTCACCCTGACTCTCTCTCTGACGCTCTGTCACTCTCTCTCCAGAGCTGACTTATATAAGAGGGACCAGTCCATTACTAGTTAGAAGGTGGGTGCGCCTCAACACAAGCATAATGTTGGAAGACCTCTTCTGAGATGTAAAGATAAATTGAATATATAATTTAAGACACTTGGAGTGCAGCCCAAAAGCCTGGAAGAGATTGTCCAAAACAGTGAAAATAGTATAAAATCTTGCAATACTAGAACTAATCAGCATGTGGAATCTTGAATGGCACATCTGGATGAACCGAGACAAGGTTGTGCAATCAATGAAGAGAAATTAAAATTAATTTTCATGTTACCTTGCATCAGCCATGTTGAACTGATGTCACACAATATGTACAAACATAAACAGCAATGTGAAAATAGTAAGACTTCAACACTCACACATTGAAAATGATCAGAGATTATTAAATTTCATGAGTGCACACAAACAATATGAAAAAATCTTACACCAATGATAAGTACATAAAAAAGAAAAATTGAAAAATATAAGCAGTCAATTGCTGATAGCCACGGAAGAGTAGACAGACATGTTCGCCTATGAAACTCTGGAGTCAGTATGCAGAAGGTAACATCAATAAGCTAAGTAACAAACTTTTACTTATATTAATTCTCTCTCTCTCTCTCTCTATATATATATATATATATATATATATATATATATATAGTGGTAAACTATAAAATCCAAAATTACCTCATATGGGGTAGAGACCTATTTAAGTCTGACAAAGTTTTCGGCGGTTGAAATAAGTCTATACTCCATATGAAGTAATTTTGGATTTTATAGTTCACTACTATTTATTTGCTCTGCAGAATAAATACATTGAGCTCTTTTCGTAGATATTCTATATTACTAGGATTCACTTGGATTTTATAAAAACAGATTTATTACCTTTACTATAAATATATATAAATATATATATATATATATTTCAAACATGTTTCATTGAATAATATAGATATATTGTGTCTGCTTATTTTTATATTGATTCTTTCCAGTTGTCTAATCAGTTTCTTGATGTTAAGATGAAATTCATCAAAGGCAGCACCAATTTTTTGTTACCTCAAGTACTTAGGATCTTTTCCAAGATCATCTTCTAGGGTAAATTACAAAGACAAACATATTGTAATTGCGATAAAATCTGCATTCCATTGTGATTGTGATTTTTAAAAAACACAGGCAAACGCACTCTATAATTACTCAAAATCTTTACATTCTTTTGATCATCAATGTCATTATCAAAAACAGAATGTCATCATTATGATAGAAAAAAAATTTGTTGGTTATATCCTGGCATTTTTTTGCGAATGCTACAATTCAAATTTAATATACAAGTATATTCTAATTAAATTTGAATTTACATTGGATAGTACATCTATACATACACACAGGCACACATATTAAATTATGAATGTGAATACAAGTTGCATGCAGATTTAAGGCAACTTGGAATTTATAACAATGTTATTCCAAAAATATCTCACATGAACTCAAATAGTCTCTATACATTGTAAAGATAATATTGATATACATTTACTTACATCTTAATTTGTCCATCAACTTTCCTGTACAAAGATGAGACAAGGCCACCTTAAGAGAAAACACCAGTATTCGTCCTTTATGTTCCCTAAGGAAATAAAACAAAAAAAAAAGAGGCATGAAATACGAACATGAATAAAACTATTCCCTGCCTTATTTTCAACTTTTTCTAAATAATATTTACATACATTTTTGTGAATTTAAATAAGTTCATATTTATCAGAGTAGAAGAAACTCTTGCAAAAGTTCTGAAATAATAACATAAAAACATTTATAGGATAGAAAAGTCCACTATTTACACTATTCGGTCTATTGTCCTCATCTTTGTTGCCATATTTATTACAACATTTCAGCCGTTGTACACTCCAGCCTTCTTCAGGTGGTTGGAATGTTGAACTGAACACTTTATTTTGCTCACTAGTTCCACATGCCATGTTTAATGGATGTCAGTTATCAGTTATCTCCTGTTAATTCCCCTCTCCAAGTTCTCCACTGCCTTAACCGGGTATTGAACTCACACTCTTTGGGTCCTGTCACTGGATCTAACTAACGCCTTTATCCACTGTACCATGTGTCCTTGAGGAAACGAAACGTTGTAATAAATATGGCGACAAAGATGAGGACAATAGACCAAATAATGTAAATAGTGTACATAATACCTCATCTCAGAAATATAGACAGATAGAAAAGTCATTTGATGATTATAAAGAAAATAATTTTTTAGTCTAAAATTAACATTTATCCTAAAACTAAAGATATTTATTAAGTTGAACTTTGTCCAGCACCAAAGTAGGGTGGGATTATTTATTTTAAAATCAGTGTTTCAAATCCTAACTAGTTTCAAATATCCACTACCATGCAGACCTTACACCAGTATTTTGATGTCACAGTGATGTAGGTATAGATAAATGACTAAATTGTTGTCCAAGATAAAGAGATTTAATATACAGAACCCTGAGAAGTATTTTTAAGTTCAAAATTTGACATGATGTTTAATATATTTACGATTTCAAAATTCTTTTCTGAATTGTAAGGTGAGAATAGCAATAACTCAACATTGGCCAAACTCAGATTAAAATCAGAATTGTAAGCAAATTTATACAAATTTATTTGCATTTTTTAAAAAATAGTAGGTGTTACAAGTAGACTAATAAATATTAGGTTGAGTCATAAATAATTTCCATTTTTAGGAACCAAATGTAATGATGAATGTATTCTCCTAATATTTCATATATCATAACAGCTGATTGAAAAATAGGTTAGATATAACAATGTACAACACAAAAGGTTATAGATTGACAAGGATAAATCTATAAAACTGACCCCAAAAGCTGAAATCAATGGAAGAAAGAAAGGTAATATTGTACACATGATGTTGAGCTTTGAGGCATTATTCATTTGGAATTATTAAAACACAATGAAACAAATGCAAATTTATATGTCCAGCAGCTACAACATGTTCGTCAAAGCTTGCTCAAAAACACTCTGTCATCATCAACAGGAAAATGATGTTTCTTTCATTTTCTAAGCTACAAGGAAAATAAAGGAATACTCATATTATGAGAGAAGATTTTGTATGGAGTTTATATTACAACAGCAGCAGTGCATACACACAGATTATTGGCTGTAGAGGATATAAATAACATCAGCTGATAAGTACCTTTAAAAATCCAGGTTTTCGAAAAGAAAGACATCTTTATGTTTATATAAATTCACAGACCCTAAATGGGGAGTGTTCAGCTTCTTCAGCCAGTCAGTAAGACCTTCTCAAAATGTAGACGTTTGGACTTGGACTTTGTTGTTAATAAAGGCATACATTTTGTGCAACCAAACTTTTCTAATTTTGATTTTAAGGAATAAATATTTCATAAAATTTTCAATCTGGCATATATTTGCTTTTATTATATGGTGTTTTGTTGAAAACATTTTATAGATGGCATGGATAGCTCCATAGTAGATTTCCATAACATTCCAGTTTTCTCTGTAGATACTAACAATATATTAATACAGTTATTTTTATCATACCAGTTGATATTATTTGTCCCTATCTTTCTATGGAATGATTAACTATTCTACTAGAATTAAGAATCCTATGTCATTCAAAAGAAATATGGTCTAAAGCCAAACTTTCTATAAAGGTTGGAATAAAAATGTAGAAACCAGTTTGGATCAATCCCAATGTCTCTGCATGCACGCACACACACACATACATACATATATATATATATATATATTTCACTCCCAGTAGCCCCCTTGTGTCTTAGTGAGATTATTGCCTTGCTTGGGTCAAATTGATTAAAAATAAATAGAAGGTGTGTGTGTGTGCATGTGTGTAAATATATATATATATATATATATATATATATATATACACACACACACAAAATAAATTGGTTTAACCCACCATTTAACAATAATGTCAAAACCAACATCAGTAAAATTTTCCTAAATTTAATCCACAAACATTTCTGCCATATCCCATTGCTCAAAATCTTCAACAAGAACAGCATTAAGATTTGCTACAGTTGCACCAAAAACCTCAAGTAGCATATAGCACAATATAACAATGTAACATTAGACAAATATTTAAATAACCTCAATAACAATATTAACACAGACAAAAAGTGTAATTGTCGAAAAAAAATTACCTGTCCACTAAATCCTAAATGTACGAATAAAGACATCATTTACAAGGCTAGCATTAAACATAATATTGAGACAAAATTTTATTTTGGCTCTACAGCCAACCACTGGAAAACTAAATTTTACCATTATAAAATGACTCTTACCACTAAAAATATGCAAATGCCATGGCACTCTCAAACTTTTACTGGGAAATTAAAACAGATGACTACACACCAGTAGTAAATTAGAATTTTGTTGTCAAAATTACACCCTTTTCTGGCTGCAGCAACTGATGTAATCTGTCTTTGCTGGAAAAAAGATTCATCCTCAAAAACATTAATGACTAAAATTTACAAATGGCTTGCAACCATATGAAAAAATTTCTCCTAAAGTATTTTAATTCTGGATAGATCAGTTTAATATATTTTCTGTTTGTGCATTGTTTTTGTGGATACAGGTGTTTGGATGAATGCTCTGTTTGTAGTGGTAGTGTTGGTGGCATTTACTGGCCTGAGTGTCCAAGAGGCTTCATGGAGGGTGTATGTTCTCTGACAGGGATCAAACCTGTGTTCTACACAGAGCCGTCATGTGGCCTGGCATGCTGTGCCATTTGGCTGTGGAGAAAGTGTCTGGTTAGCAAAACCAAATTACTGTTTTTAAACAACAGATTTTGCATTATTTTTCTCGAACAATCATATCATATGACTTTGCTAGCTAGATGCTTCCTCTGTGGTTGGATAGTGTGGTGTGTCAGGCTGTGTGACAGTTCCATGTGGGATGCAGGTTCGATTCCTGTGGGAGGATACATGTTTTCTGTGAAGTTTCTCAGACAATCGGGCTGTTGGTTGTGGTTGGTGCTAAAGTGTTTATGTCTGTAAGGGTAACATATAGACAGAAAATATATTAATATAATTATCGAATTTAGTCCATTTCATAATATATATAGATCAGTTAACCAAACATCACCTGCTCATTACATATTTTAGGTTATGCTGATTACTCCACTTTAACCATTTCAATGCCTATTAATACATAATGAGCTACATGGCATTCTTCTTTTCTTATACAGTGTAACCCGGATATAAGAGACCCGGATATAAGAGAAACCCGGATATAAGAGAGATTTTCTCTGGTCCCAAATTAGAGCCTGTGTTAATGTATATAAAATAGACCAAACCCGGATATAAGAGAAACCCGGATATAAGAGACTTCTTCTCCGGTCCTGACAACTCTCTTATATCCGGGTTACACTGTATATTTTGTTCTTTTAAATATCCATATTTTTCTTTTTCCCCCTCATGTTTTAACTTTTTTGTCCTTCTACAGTTTTTAGTTTATATCATAATATTATTAAATGTTAGCTTTATATACTGTACAGTGTTACTTTCTTGAAATATAGAGATTACTTATAAAAATAATACATTTTGCTACATCTACCCCATCCTTTTTTTTATTTCTTATTCATATTGCTATCCATCATTCATTATTATCATTATTCATACCCATCCTGAAATGCCTTAACATATTGATAAACCACCTCAAAAAGTCTAAAGTAAAGTTTCCTCTACCCGTCCACAAAATTATAAAAATATGAAAACTAATCACTGACTACAGCTTCTTCACTTTCAACAATATTCTCTACAAGCAAAAATTTGGTTTACTATGGGGGTCACCTATCAGCAGTGTTCTCACTTACATTTTTTTTAGAATTCTTAGATTCCGATCCATTTAAAAACATTATACCAAACATCTCAACTTACCTAAGATATATAGATGACACAGTGGGCTGCCAAGCGGATGTATAGATTTTTACAACATTTTCAAAATGATTTGAGACCTAAAAATTTGGAAAGCTTATTCTCTGAGGTGTCCAAAAATGGTCTAATTTGTCTTCTAACTAAAAATAATTTCCAAGATATAGCCATTTGAAGTTCATAAATTCTGGATTTTAACATGAAAGGATTTTATGTTCTGACACTTTGGAAAATTATGGCCTAAGATTTGACCAGTAATTTGCTAAAATGTCTCCAATACCTCCATCTTAAGGCATTAAGAAAGTCTACAGACACCCAAGATTGAAATATCTGCATGGATTAGGGTCATTTCTTCTAGGTTTTAGCAATTTTTGCAGAAATTAGCTTGAACAATATACATTTTTGCCCCAAAAATTTGGTCCAAATTTGTATCTGGAGGTCTACATTTAAGGAATGATTGCAAAAAAGCCCTAGGATGAATCATTTTAAGGCTCACAATTTAAAATTAAGAGTTGGCAACCTTTCTGAAAAATGTCTGGTTGAAAAAAGTTTACTCTCAGGAACATTACTAAAATCTATTCCCCCAAACATTTTGCTTGTCAAATGTTATCCCTTTCCGAGTATCAAATGAGGGTTTTGGATATACAAAAACATATAATTCATCTAATTTTTGGCCAAATGTAATGACCAAGACCTCTATCTATGTTTT